TAACTCAGCGGTCTAGAGCTTAAGCATTGACGTTCAAGATTGAAGATGATGTGTCCGATTCCAACGTTTGGTATGATGAATGCTTAGTGCTGATGAGTCCCATTCCAAAACGAAATGGCCGTTCAGAATCATTTTCTTTAAAAGGAATTCATTATTACTTAGAATAAAAGTTGGTTACATTGTTAGGAATGACACTTGAACATTCACATCTAAACTATTCAACTAAGAGAATGTCAAAGCACAAAATAATTCCATTTAAATAACCGATTTTTTCATTATGATGAGTTAAAATTGTACTTAACTGAATACATAACATCATGAAGGTGTTTATCTGTATGAATAAAGTTGTCATCTCATATTGTCAATAGATGAATGACTTTTCTTGAAATTTGAAATAAACTTATACTTACTTACTTACTTACTTACTTACTTACTTACTTCAACACTCACTTACTTACTTACTTACTTACTTACGCTTGTTACCCCTCATAAAGGAGAATATACCACTCAGTAGCATTCTTCATCTCGAGCTCAGTTAAATTAAGAAGGTTAGATATGGAATGAGGTACCCTTATGATTGGTGAGTTGATTTTTTTCGGTTTCCTACAGTTTTCCCCCGTATTTTTTGGTTGCTAGTTTCCTTTTTAGTTTGTCAACAGTGTAACTACCATAAAGAATATACAATTGTTTTCTATTACTATTCATTTGAAGAAAATTATTATTCATTTTACATCGATGTGTTATCTATCTATGTATGTTGGGTATCTTTTTTGCTGGGGGTGAGGTTAGTGGTGGGATGGGGGTGGAAGTGGAAATTCATGACTAACTTATAAGATCAAATCTTTCTATACATAAACATATCTCCTTATTCTATATATATGGATACCATATAGAATGTACTCCTAATGCTTATTGAAATCTTCAATGAATATTGTATAAACGGTAGATGAATACATGTTTCTATTGATATACATATACATTGATATATGAATACATGTACCATGGAGACATTTTTAAATGGAGGGGGAAAGAAGGAATTGTTAACGGTATAGTATTCTTTTGTAATAAGAAATGACTCAGTTATGGTAAACATTGATCATATTGATATTTGGTTGTTCTAATAAGTAATAGTCTAACTAAGTAGTATAGTAGTATAGACAATAAGAAGATCGTTTCATTATAAACACATGAATAGGAGATGATTAAGTATTAGTATATGTCAACAACAAAATGTCACAAATTTGAATGGGCTTTTTGTTTTTCTTCTATAGTAGTACAATGGAAAAGATGTTCTATTGATTTATTCATTTAAATTAGTTACTAACTAGTGATATTTTACTTTTATTTCATTCTGATTGTCTACTGAAATTGTTTTATTGATTGACATATTTATGACTGTTATTCCTCGTGAAAGTGTATAGGCTACTTACTAGCATTGTTTATACAGCTCTGTCCTCTAAAATCATTTCCATTTGTTTCTAGTTACTATTCATCTTTGACATGTCTGCTTCCAATTCCAAAAGTAGTGTGTTCTTTGGCCTTCCACTTTCCCGTTTCCTTTCACGATTCCAAGATAGTGCTTGCCTCGTGATGCAGTTTGATGATTTCCTACTGTATGTCCTATCCATTTCCATCGTTTTGTCCTAATTTCCTTTTCAGCTGGAAGGTGGTTTGTTCTCTACCCTAGTAGGATTTTGCTAATGGTATCCGACAAACAGACATTCAGTTTCTCACGTAGACAATTGTTTATAAATACTTGCACTTTCTTGATGATGGTTGTAATAGTTATCCACATTTCAGCTCCATTCAGTAGGACTATATTGACGTTCATTCTAAGCATATTGCCGGTTTCAAGTCAGGGTAAATGAGGAGGTTTGGATATGAGGTCGATAACCTCATCCTGTAGAAAAAACTCTTGCTAGAAACAAATTAAACCATTGAACCTGATACGTTAGTGTTTAATTAACGCCATTAATTTATTATGGTCAGCAGAAGCTCAAAATAAATCAAGTAATTTGATTCTAAATCAAACTTTTACTTATGATCTGTAAGGAGTCAAATCAAGTGATATTCAGTATTAAGTTTAGTGGGGAATCGCTTCATGGTATTTTCATAGCTAACAAATTATATCATAATATCAATTCTAACCTACAGACCGTTCTGATATATATAAGTGAGAATAATGGTCTAAAGGTTAGGCGTTCGTTCGTCAGACCGAAGGTCCTGGGTTCGAATGCTTAGGACGGGATCGTGGATGCACACTGTTGAAATGTCCTATAATGGGAAGAAAGCAGTGCTTTCAGATTTTCAGTGGTGATCTAACATCAATCGATTCATGAACTCAACTATTAAATCACTAAAATATCCATAAAACCCCTTTCTGAAAACATATAATTATTATCAGAAGGGGTTTTGTGGAGATTGTAGTAATTTCAACAGTCGAGATCATGAGTCGATTGAAGCTAGACCACCTTTGAAAACCTGGAAGCAATGGACGGCCGTTTGTCCTATTGCGAGACTCCTCAGCAGTGCTCATCCACGACCCCGCCTCGCTGGATTCAAACCCAGAACCTGTCGGTCCCGCGCCAGGCGCTCAACCAACTAGACCACTGAGCTGGCATGCATCCGACTGTGTTAATGTCTAACTTCAACTAATCGACGAAATTGAGCGACACATCCACCACTGTCATCAGTGAGTTACTACCTCACAACTGACCAGGTTGAACGCCACTGCTGAGGAGTCTCACAATAGGACGAATAGACCGTCCAGTGCTTCTAGGTTTTCATGGTGGTCTAGCTTCAATTGGCTCATGATCTCAACCTTTTAAATTACTACAATCTCAACTGTTGAAATATATAAATACGTTAATTTTATCATACTACTAATATGTAGTTTGAATAGTATAGTTCTATTTACAAGTAATATAATTATTATACAATACTAATTAAATAAAAGTGAATAACTTTTCATGTTTACTGTTTAACTACTTGTTTGTTTTCGGCACCGATCATCATCATCCACCATATGACTAATAATATGACTAAATCCTGCACGCGAGATTCAAACACAGGATCTTTGGTCTGGCGCGCCAATGCTTAACCTCTAGACCACCTATTTGGCATTCAATAATGTCGGTGTCCAATTTCAACAAATCCACGAGGATGTGCAACCACCCACCAATGTCTGAGATAGATACCTGTCTCTGCCTGAAAGGAATAGCTCGACCGATCACAGTTGCTCACAAGAACTCCGAGAATCCCCAGAAGGAGCTAGTTAACAGTGAGCACATGATAATCACCAAGGTAGGGTTGTGGGGATTGATAAGTATTTCAAAGATATCAGAATCGATGTATGTTAGATAATGGTCCAGTGCTCTACGTTTCCAATGATAGGCTAATATTCATCGACTCATGATTTCAATCGATAGCTTAACAACACCATACTGCGAATATGGTTGCATATGGTGATGATTCTAAGAGAAAACGACCATTAAACTCACTTCAATTTAGATAGTAAATGGTTACAGTGTTTATTCATAGCTGAAGCAAGACTAACTATGAATTGACTGCCAAAATATTTGTTTTCAATTTACTTGCTTTTCACAAAAGCAGGAATGTTTTGTAAAATGAGACTTCCATTCATCTCTGTTCTGTGTGTATGTAGATGACTGTCAGTCACATAAACACATAATTAGAAAGCGGTATTCATTATTCTAACAAAGTTTCATATCACGCCCACTACACAATAGAGAATACCATATGATTTGAATAATTAAATATAATGAGGTGATAGATGAAGAGAAAGTATAATCATTGAAATTTCTACAAACAACTGAGGTCATCAGAAATATTCAGATGTTTTGCACTACTATTTCAGTGTTTTTTTCAAAAGAATATTTCTTGTGAGACAACGCATATTAGATGAGTAGAATTGAAGTAGATGCGATGATCATGTGCAATATTCAACTAAGTAATCTTGACTGAATCGTCAAGTGACAGTCCCTAACCCGATTGGATTTAGGAGGACGTTAGAAGTACATGATGTGTTCAAACCAAGTAAAGACTGTTCATCTACAATGATGTGTTCCTGTCGACCGATGTTATCTTTTTAATCCGTACAACCATGTCTTTTAGTTATCAAACACATTGTGGTCTCAAATGAAGTACAGAAGTGAAACATGATTGTCCGCTTGATCAAAATAGAGAAGACGAAATACAAACAATTAAATCAACAATAATCGATGATGAGGTGTTACATACAAGATGAAAACAGCCAACCCGTACTCCCATGATTCTAGCGGTGATCTGACTAAAATCACTTCGCGATTGAAAGCTATGAAGATGCCATTATCTTCCGAAAACACTGGTGGTGGAATAATTTCGGGATAATATCTTAACTGCATATCGTGTGCTATGTATCCCCTAATTTCTTTAGTGTTCTCATTTGCCTTATACCGTTCTCAGTCTGCACATTCAACTTTCTCAATCCGCATGACTTTCTTAACACAATTACCTTGATGACACCCCGTCTTACTGTTCATTAAATTCACATTGCGTTTTCCTTATAATTAATTATATTACAATTTAAATCGTTGGTATCCGCACTCGAACAATAATAATAATAACAGTTTTTATCTTTATTACGGTTATCGCAATTATTATTTACTCCACTGATCAAATTATATTCTCCTTACATTCATTCTTTGCATATCACTCGTTTGATCATTACATTGATTACAATTAGGCACCTCACACCGAATCACTTCAATCCTATGAGAATAACCTTTACAGCTTACAGATGGCACATTTTTGAGGCATTTATCACACAACTGATACACAGAGTCGTCACGTTTTAACACAACATTGTCTAATTCACTTGAATGCTCAATTTTAGCCTTTCTTACACTATGTTTGTGAACTTGTAACTGTAGAGTGTGATGATGAAGTTATCGAAAACACTTTCCACTACAATATTCTTCATTTCTTCCTATTTAACACAGGGATTTCTGGTTAGGTTAGTTTGTATAAAAGCAAGCTCACAGAAAACAGTTTGAAATTGATGAATTGAAATTGTTACACCTGGAAATGACACCGGCATAACTTTACACAAAGAAGGAGAGGAATACTGTCGGTAGGTACAAGGTGTGTTATTATTGTTATAAGCTTTATTCAATATTATATTTTGGTACAATATAGAATTCTCAGCATGAGGTATCTAAACAAATTTCCGGTTTTTACTTCTTGGTCGATCCTGACGATAAATATTGAGTGATCGCCAGTTAGGTGTTAGCAGTTCAGTTAATGAACATCTGAATAATGTATATTCTTTTTTCTACATATTGCCAGCGACCACACTGTCTCTTATTCAGCTCTTTGTAACTTTGACAATGAAATGTTGTACACTTTTCAGAAATGCACCAGGATAAGTTAATAAACATAATGATATATTAAACAAACAAAATTAGATAACTTGTTGAAATATCTAGATGGCAGGAACAGGTAGCCCAGATGCTCAAACAGTACTTCATTTCAACGTGATATTGGTTCAATGATTATTTTATTAGTCGTTTGAACTACATTGTCTTTCAAATGAGTTAGTTGAAGGGCTTAACAGAACTAAATTCATACCCTACACTCACATGTTCGTTTTTTTCTTTGTTAGCTAATTTATCATTTCAACCAATCAGGATATCACACATATTTTACTCCTGTTGGGTTTGATTTCGACCGACCAAAATTAATATTGTCACTTGTAACCAAGCCCTGATGTCAGCGAGAAATGGCTTCCAAATCAGGTGCATTGAAAACAATCTGGAACCAGGATATCAAGTCGAAAAAACTGCCTCAGTTCATCCCTGAATGGTTAACAATTGTTTTATTGACGATTAGTGACAGCCAGAGAGAGAGTGATGCAAGATTTTAGTTCCGTGATAATCATCATCGATTTTTGTTGGTTTAATTGTTTGTATTTCGTCTTCTCTATTTTCATCAAGCGGACAATCATGTTTCACTTCTGCACTTCATTTGAGAACACAATGTGTTTGGCAACTAGAAAATCTGGTTGAACTGATTTGGAAGATAGTACTGAACCATAGGAACGTATTATTTTCGATAAACCTTCTTTGTTTGGCCTAAACATGCACATGATTCTTACGCGCTCCTAAACCTGTTTGGATCGTTCAGACTGTAACTTGACGATTCAGTCAGCATGATGTGGTTGAATATTACATATAATCATCATGTCCACCTGAATTCTACTAGTCTAATATACGATTTCGCATAAGAAATATTTTTTGAAAGATAGTCACAATAGTGTAGATTATATGTGAGTGTTTTTGCAAATATCTGTCTGTCAAGCTCAGTTATTTGAAACCTTCTATCACATATTAGGTTGATGAAAATGTTTTTATGGAATCCACATTGATGATTTGAAAAACAAAGTCCCTCTTCCTTCGTCTTTCCATCGAATCAAACAAATTGAAAATCAGTTTTCGGCCTGAGAACAGCTGACCTCCATGCACTGATTTCGAAATAGTCAGTGTCAGTGAGCTCACGAATTGATTGTGCACTTTACACATGCGGAAACGGTGTACAAGATATAGATGGATGATAAAACTGATATCACTTACACGTTTTGTTATTCACGTATCTTTTGTTTGATAACTTCAAATGCTGTCTCTCTAAGTTATTTCACAGTAAGATGTTCAAAACACGATTCCATTGAAAAATGCCGAAATGCGACAACATCAAGTGTGAAATGTATCTGGTATGAAGAAGCTAATATGTGCATTAACAGCGATGATAATGATGTTGAGGTTAGTAATTGTTAAGATTCATAGATTGTTTACAACATTGCTACATTCCACATTGTACATCCGATTACTCGGAAGTTGTAGTATTGTTGTGATGTATACTACCTATGCTGGCTGACATGAGTAGTATTTAATACAAATCAAAAATAAAATGTCTGGCAACAGAATAATGTGAAAATCGAGTTGAAGAGAACGTATATACATAATAAGGAGTAATTGTAACAAAAAAGAACTAAGGAACGATGAAGTTTATGAGGGACAATTGACGGAAGATGCACGAATGAAGTATTTCATGTACCGTTTTCATCTTTTACGAAGACACTGTGATTTCGCATTTAAATTAAATTGGTTTGCCTCACCATGTCTTCGTTCACTGTAGTAATGATAATAATAATAATAATAGTATTAATAATGGAAGCGGCAATAATGTCAGTGGTATTAAATGAATAATTGTATCTTTGTATTATGATCATTACTGGTAAGCGGTTTATTTATGGCACGAATGGTAGAATTTGTAGAACTAGCAACAATGATAGTAAATCTAATGATGGTATCGGCAGATGTAATCATAATAGTTAGTATAGGATTGCGTAGTTTGTCGAGTTTTATTTCAGAAGAGCCAATCAAAGTAGGAGATAATTTTCTGAGTTCGATTGGGATGCCGTGATCATTGTGGTTGATGTGTGTCAGGTATGGGCCAGTTACTCACATAAGACGATGGAGGAGAGTCGCAAAATTTCGTAGATTGGTTGAAGTTAGACATTATCACTATAAGATACCGGCTCAATGATTTGAGGATAATCAATGGCGCGCGAGAATGTATGTCATGAGCTCGAGCCATACGATAAGAAAGTGTAGGAGTTTGTGGATAATGTAATAATTACCTACAATAAAATGTTTGCCATACAACAATGCATAGAACTACGGAAGGATTATGAGTTCCGGACAAATATACATATCACATATTGAATCGATCTGAAATTGTGGTGAATGTTTCTTGTAAGACAGTTATGATCTAATGAACGTCTGAGTTGACTTGATAACATCATCTGGCTACAAACATTTCAGTAAAGTGTTTCAATGACATCTTCCACATCTAGCTTCTGTTCAATTTGAAGTGCGTTGAGATGTTGTCCTCTGTAACGATGATCAAGTAGTATTGTTGACTCTCAAAACGCCATTCTTCTAACGCTTTCATTGAGTAATACGATTTGCTAGAGGAAATTCAATAGCTTTGTTATTTTGGTAATGGTAAAGCAAAATTTCAGCGAAGCTGAATAAGGATCTGAGAGATGTCCCAGCTCTGATCTCATCATGGCACAGACTTTGGATTGTGTAAACATAGTAGGTTATTTGTAGATTCATTCTTCTAATGCTCTTAATTAATTATTCAATAATAATAATAATATATGTTTCTGCTATGGCAGGTACACGCCATTTCTACAGGCATGATTTACAAATTACAACATTCATTGTTTCACAGTACGCATCTTAAGCAGGGTTGTTCAATAAATATAATCTATAAAAGTGAAGATCAGTTCATTCCTTTAGATATACTGAGTAGTCTTGAAAATATTTTAGAAAGTGGAATGGCGTCCACGTAGCACACCAGATCCAATCTCGGCATAATTGTGTTAGGATGTTGATCGAGCTTATCATTTATGCAACGCAACTTCTTAAGTTCGTGGTTGTTATAAATTAGACTTGTAGAGCGCTTGGTGTGAACTATGACGTTGGAAAAACGCGTACATCGAGTTTGTTCCAAATGTCATTAGTTCCATAGTTGTAGCCCTCAGAGCAAGATTCTGAAAATAAGAAACCGAGGAGCAGCAAAGCACTTGGATATGAACGATAAACAATGCTTAACATTTTGTAGTGGAACAGACATAAGAATGATTAATTATTGGATCCAATTCACACTAGCTCTTGTTGTCACAGTGAAATGTGATCAGTGGCTCCAGATGAGAGAATGCAGTAATAAAGAACAATGATTTGTGATACTGATCAAGGAGGAGTGAGTTCAAATGAAGGAATGGAAGTCAAGGTTGGAATGAGGAAGGCTGTTTTATCAGAACAGATAGTGCATATAGATAGTAAACTGTTACTAAAACTAATAACTATATCTACTATTGTATGATTCTTTTCTTTCGTTTTTCCACCCGATGCCTGCCATACAGTCCTAATCGAAAGTCCGAGTTAGCCTGTTATACACTGTCTTAATAGAATAGAATCATTGTCGATAATGAAAGTTACATCGGTTTGGTAATTGAGGACGTGAAAACAAACTGATTGTAGAAGAGAACGACCATTAAACTCACTTCAATTTAGATAGTAAATGGTTACAGTGTTTATTCATAGCTGAAGCAAGACTAACTATGAATTGACTGCCAAAATATTTGTTTTCAATTTACTTGCTTTTCACAAAAGCAGGAATGTTTTGTAAAATGAGACTTCCATTCATCTCTGTTCTGTGTGAGTAGATGACTGTCAGTCACATAAACACATAATTAGAAAGCGGTATTCATTATTCTAACAAAGTTTCATATCACGCCCACTACACAATAGACAATACCATATGATTTGAATAATTAAATATAATGAGGTGATAGATGAAGAGAAAGTATAATCATTGAAATTTCTACAAACAACTGAGGTCATCAGAAATATTCTGATGTTTGGCACTACTATTTCAGTGTTTTTCTTAAAAGAATATTTCTTGTGAGACAACGCATATTAGATAAGTAGAATTGAAGTAGATGCGATGATCATGTGCAATATTCAACTAAGTAATCTTGATTGAATCGTCAAGTGACAGTCCCTAACCCGATTAGATTTATGAGGACGTTAGAAGTACATGATGTGTTCAAACCAAGTAAAGACTGTTCATCGAGAATAATGTGTTCCTGTCGACCGATGTTATCTTTTTAATCCGTCCAACCATATCTTTTAGTTACCAAACACATTGTGGTCTCAAATGAAGTAGAGAAGTGAAACATGAATGTCTGCTTGATCAAAGTAGGGAAGACGAAATACAAATAGATAAACCAACAAGCAATCAATGATAATCATTATGGAACTGAAATCATGCTTCGCTGTATCATTGAATATCACTAATTGTCAATAAAACTAATGAAGATGTTTCATGAAGAAACTTATCTTCTTGACAATATCGACTCCTGAATTTGCACGATTGTATTTCCAGATTATGTTTTTGCATGTATTAGTGTGTGATATAAGAGATGGGTGTTGCAGAATTATTGCAGATGATCAGACTTATTTATGCGCTGGTCAATCGAGAGGAAATTGTGTTGCGCACATAAAAAGTCGAGATAATCAAGAGCCTTCAACTATTTGAAGCAATAATTTATAAATGGAGGGGTGTTATTTCATGGTTGGCTAAGTCTTCGAGTGCTGAATAAAATAGGTTTCGTCATTTGTCGACGTAGCAAACAGTCATGAAGAGTCTACGTTGTGTAATAGTATCGGCAGTGTTCAAAGCAACAATCTATGAAACAAAAGATGGAGATAACTGTCTACCTAAAAGGTGATGATGGAGAGAAGGAGGTGAAGAGGAATACGACTGTATTAATCAGCAATTCTAATTTGTAGCATTCGATTGGATGATAAGGCCGTTGATGAATAATAGATTAAACGTGAGTCCTCTGCTCTTGCTATAGCTTCGGCCTCATGCAAAGCTTTTATTGTGTAAGGGAATTTGAACGGAGATTCGCGTGATGGATGTGAACTGAATCGACTGTGTTTGACAACTGAGTTGTCGATTGTCTTTCAATCTCTTTAGATAATCATACAGAGTGCTGCTCGGATATTTGTTCATCAGGTACAGCCACAAACTGCTTCACGAGAGTAAGCAAACTTGTGGATCAATATTGAGATGGCCAGAGGTAGCAAATGATTCCTAACACTCCCCTGGATGACTTTTTTCAAGGATTCGTACGTTTGTTCTTTGGTGTCTTAGATGCTCTTTCACCCCTGAATTCATTATTCAAGAACAGAACTTTCTGTGCAACAGTGGGAGATACTCTGACTTAACATCCCGGTTTCAGATTGCTTTCAATGCCAATGGGTTGGAGAAAATTTTTCAGAAGCGTTTTTCGGATTATATTCGGTTCATCGTCAATTTCGTCTGGGATTGTTCGGCCAGATCACCTGCGAAGTCTAGATCGTCTAACTGCATCCTGTATGTACACTGTATCCCGCGTTTCCCTTCAGATGTTGATGTCTTCATTATCCAGTCGATCATCAGGAGAAAGAGGAAGAGTGAGAGTAAAAAACCTTGATCGACACCGGTCTTTACCTCGAACGGCTTTGTCAACTGTCCTCCACGCACAATTTTGCAGTGTAATCCATCATATGAGTTCTGTATGATATTGTCTATATTCTGAGGCACGCCGTAGTGTCGAAGAAGTTTCCATAGAATTGTCCTGTCCACGCTATCAAATGTCTTTTCGTAGTCAATGAAGTTGATGTAGAGTGATGAATTCCATTCAATTGAAGGTTCCACAATGATCCGTAGGGTTGCGATTAGGTCTATACATGATCTATTCTTACGGAATCCTTTCTTTTGGTTTCAAGGTTGGGCGTCTACGCGGTCCTTCCTTCCGTTTACCAATACCCTGTTGAAAAAGTTTCCTGTAGTTATCACAGCTGTTGAGATCGCCCTTCTTTGGTATCTTGATCAAATGTCCTTCTTTTTAGTCTGTTGGTACTTGTTCTTCATGTCAGATCTTGAGGAAGAGAATGTGGAGTATCCTTGCAGTTACCGCCAAGTCTGCTTTCAGTGCCTCTGCTAAAATTTTGTCTAGTCTTGCTGCTTTGCCACTCTTGATATGCCTGACGGCCATGCTGACTTCTCCCATTGTTGACTGGCAAACATCGATTAGGACGTGCGTGGGTGCTGCTTCGATGTTGGGCGGGTTCAGTGTGGCTGGTCGATTC